CTCAGTTTGTTTCCTGAGATTAAGAATTCCTCATATCACTCTACCTCTTATAGAGAGGAGCCATAAATATTGTGGCCATTTTTATAATCCACCATATACAGTGAAGACCATAATCGTGTGGTCCCTCCGTTATGGGACTTTCAGCTTGGTGGTTACAGTAGACATTTATACCTTTAACATTTCCTGAAGGTTTGTGGTTGCTGCTTGAAGGGTCTGAGCAAGAGAATGAGCTTATCATTTCTAACTTTAACATGGTCAACATGTAGATAGTGATGTGATGTGTTGTGGGGTCCAGGAGCAAACAGTCAAGAAAGAATTCTTGAGTCGTTTTTGGTGCAAAACGGTGGTTTTATTAAAGCACAGGGACAGGACCCATGGGCAGAAAGAGCTGCCCTGAGATTGTGAGGAGCGATTGGTTGTATACTTTTAAATTTGGGGGTTGGGGTAGAGACAAAGGAAGTTTCTGAAAGGATTGTCATATGTTAAAGAAGACTTACAGGATCTTGGAGGTCTGGCTATTGTCAAGAAGGTTGCTTTTTGCCTCTAGCAAAGCATTAACATTAAGACAGTTGTGAGTTCCTGGAGGAATGTCATACTCTGTGTGTCTCAAGTATTTGTCAATGGGCTGCAAAATGTAAGGAAATTTAATTTTACCTACATTTCCTTTTGCCTTTGTTGTACACATCAGATAGGTTCATTAATAGCATATTTCTTATTTCACACCTGTAACATGTCATACCTGGAGATAAGGAAAGATAAGGAGGTCTTCTCTCTCCTTCTACTCAATACTGACTGTGTATTAGAATCACCTGGGATTTTAAAAATATAAATCCCCAGACCCAACCCCAAATCAATTATATTAGAAACTCTGGGCAGTGCAACCTTGGCATTGGAGTTTTTTAAATAAGCTTCACAGGTGATTCTAAAGTGCAGCCAAAGTTGAGAACCACTGTTCTATCCAGGTTTGTTCCAAAAGGTAGCACCCCACCCCCAAACCATATCAAACTCATATATACCAGCTTTCATCCTTTTTCTTGCTCTGAGTCAAAGCTGTCTCCACCCTCTATGCCACAGATGAAAAATGGTAAAGGGGAATGTGCCTTAAAGAAGACTCTAGAATATGGCTGGTGTTCACAGGGTGTCCTCTATCTTTTGGGGAGTATCACCTCATTGGGAAAGGAGGTTCTCAAAAGAGATTCCAGTTGCCATCTTCCTTTGCTTTGAAACAGGTTCTTCTTCCTGTCAAATGATGAGCTGCTGGAGATCTTGTCAGAGACAAAGGACCCCCTCCGCGTGCAGCCACATTTGAAGAAGTGCTTTGAAGGAATTGCCAAGCTAGAATTTACAGACAATCTGGAGATTGTGGGCATGATCAGCTCAGAAAAAGAAACCGTTCCATTCAAACAGAAAATCTACCCAACTCAAGCCAAAGTAACTCTCCTCTTATTCCTTTTCATTCTTTTCTCCATAACAGAGCAATACAGAGAGAGGCAGAGAGCATATTGATTGGTTAAGCCCTTGGACTCAAATTCCATACTGCCTGAGTGTGGAACACCTGGGTTCCACAGCTTAGTGACTGGGCAACTCTGGGAAATTGCTTAATCTTTCTGAGTCTCAGTTTGCCTTTATGATGGGGGTTATACTGCAATCCACGCGACACACTAAATTTATGGGAGGATTTCAACCAAACCTGATGTAGAGGCAATAGTAGGCATCAGACCCGACAGCTGATGCTGTTCAGATCTCCATGAGCACAGCCCAATTAAAAGTGATCTGGTAAGGGGCACCTGGGTGGCTCAGGTGGTTAAGCGTCAGACTCTTGATTTTGGCTCAGATCCTTATCTCAGGGTTATGAGATTGAGCCCTGTGTCAGCTCCGTGCTAAACATGGAACCTGCTTAAGATTCTCTCTCTCTCCCTCTCCCTCTGTTCTGCCCCCCCCCCACCACTCAT